AAGAAACGTATTATTGATATTGTTTCATAAAGAGGTTGATCCCCAGCATGCTTGTCAAAATCAATCTTACATATCCTGATTTTCACCTAGAAAATCAATTATTATAATACTAACAAGGAAAACAATGGCATAAATAGCAGGCAAGTCTGCTGTCTCCAAATCATTATTGTCCATTCCTTGTTTTTTGGTTTTTTTTTTTGTTAGCATCTGTATGTTGTTAGCCTGGGAATGTCTATTCTATCATTTAGTTACCTTATGCATAGGAAGGGCCTGTTGTTTGATGTGCCTTCACTTTAATGTAAAGCACACCATTACTAGGTTAATGATCATGAGCCATCACTGAGTCACTTTGAAAAGGTGGCAGTGATGAATGGAGCCGGCAGCTCTGAGGGAGGTTGATCACTGAATGCACAGTGAAGTTTATTTAAGCTGGGCTTGATAATGGGCCTGTATTTGAGATGGGATGTTTCTAGTCACTATTTAGACAACAGACATTCCCTGACATGATATTCCCTCCCTGCCCTCTTATCTTTACACAGAGTAAGTAAAGCTAAGGCTGCTCTCTGTTGGAGATCTATGGATAGTGGGTAGCATGCGATATGAAGTGGCAACTCTACTCTAGAGGCTATAGAATATGGAAAGTATGCAGAAAGAATAGGCAGTCTTCCATGGCCCAAGCCTCTCTTTGATAAATTCACTTTTTCAGACATGAATATTGACCATTCATTTCCTTAGCATACTATTTGAAAAATCCATACATTTGCCAAAACATCGACAGGGAGTCCTCTGGTCATTTATGAAACACAATAATATTTTTCCCCATGGGGTATGCTCCATTTCTGAGCACCATTTCCATAATCATAGGCTGATGTGGATGAAGGGGTTTGACATCTTATATATCTGTAATAAACTAGCTTGAAAGAGGCTTTTGAGGACTTAAAAAGAGCATTTCTGTATTAGAGGCAAATGATGTGTCAGCCCTATGAGGTAAGCCATGACAAGAAACCGACTCCACAAATCAGAACTCTATTTTATTGACAGAGGCTATAGAAATATAAAACATATAAAATAATATAAAAGCCTGACTGACTTCTCCTCTTCTTCTTCCCCCCTTACATTTTATGAATTAGAAAAGAGCCTCTTTCTCACACTTTCCCTGTTGCCCTGGCCTAAAATATACTTCTGTTTCTGCAGGCATTATGGTCTCTGCCTAATTTTCCCAAGGTCCTCTCTGTGATTTTTTACAATAACCAATCCAGTATCATACACTTAGATTAGTTATTGTGGTTCAATATGATTGTCATGTACTCATGTGAACCAACAGCTACACTACAGTGGATTTTTAATATACATGTATTCAGGATCACATGCATATTGATTTCTTTTTAAAGTAAGAAAATGAACCCTGAGTTATTGTTTTAAGCATTCTCTGATAAAGCACCAGTGGTGGGATTCAAATTTTTTTTACTAGCGGTTCTGTAGGCGTAGCTTGGTGGGCGTGGCGTGGCAGGCGTGGCGTGACGTAGCTTGGTTGGCGTGGCTTGGTGGGTGGGGTGTGGCTTGGTGGATGGGGTGTGGCTTGGTGGGAGTGGCAGGGGAATGATACTATAAAATCTCCATTCCCTCCCCACTCCAGGGGAAGGTTACTGCAAAATTTCCATTTCCTCTCGATCAACTGGGACTTAGGAGGCAGATAATAGATGGGGGCGGGGCCAGTCAGAGATGGTATTTACCGGTTCACCGAACTAGTCAAAATTTCTGCTATAAGTTCTCCAGAACTGATCAGAACCTGCTGAATACCACCTCTGTAAAGCACCCACTGTAATGAAAGGAAAGCATCTTTTTCTTCTAGCTAATATCATAGAGCTAGCTTATATTATACTAAAGATACAAAATTTGGGCTTCAAAAACCTAGATGACCACTAGATTCCAATATAGAGTTGAGGATAACTCTAGCCCTCTAGGGATCATCTGGATGTTTGCAGCAGCCCTCCAGGTTACTGAAGACAACTGATCCTTTCTTCACATAAATAACTCAGATCAATGTAATGTTGCAAAAATACTAGAATTTGGGGTCTATGTTGCCCTGTACTTTTATTACAGGAAGCTGTTCCGACAACTAAATGACAACTTTATAAGACATGTCCCATTTTTATTCATTGAAGGAAACATTTAAATAGTAGTATAATAAAATTATTATTTAAAAAGAAAGTGCTACCCCCATTTTGAAGGGAGGTCATACAGGGGTATAAAAAAATAATATACAGTAATATATAATAATATACTTAATAATATATGTATATGAATAATAAATAAATAAATGTAATATGTATAATTAATACATAAATAATATAGAATAATATACATACAGGTTTATAAAAAATATCTAGTTAACTTAGACTTTTAGTTTGGGTGGCACCTCTGAGGAAGACTTTTTAGAAGGGAAAACAGGGTCAAGTGATCCATTGATCCTCTGCACCAGATGGACCCTCACCACAAATTTGGACCAAAATGAATTTCCAATGGCCCAGGACTCTGATCTAAACTTACCAGTACAAGGCCACATGATTGATGCTCCCTTTTGGTTAGGCATCAGAAAGCAAGAGGCATGAAAATATAAGCTTACGAAGCGGAGTGTGAAGCCAGATCGAGTTTTGGAGGCCACAGTTGAGTAAATGCTATTAACTTAATACACCTGGATGGCCTTAAAGACAGATCAGGATTAAATTCTGAGTAAGGATTGCTATAGATTCTAATATGAAATTCTCTGTCTATGGATAATTCATTAATGGAAACAAAGTCTACTGGTTGTTTTGAAGCCTCACTGATAGTATATCAATATAACCTGATATCACTCTCTTGCCTTTGTTCTCTGAAACACTGATTGGATCTGGACTTGTTTACTTTTCAGCTTCTGGACTGATTTAGTATCTTTTGTGCATTTCTCTAACTGTGAGTAATCCTTTCTGGAATTGTAGCTTGAGCCATGAAATCATACTTTCACTGCTTCTGATCTCATCCCAGGACAAGGCATCATCTTGGGAGGCTACAAGAAGGCTATTTTAATGGAGGCATTCACTTATTGTGCTGGGAAACCCAGCTACTGCACCAGGATTTCCCTGGAGTATGCATTCTGTGTGTTAAGTGAGAGGGAAACAGCCTCCTAATCAGAAGCCATGATAACAGAGATAATGGCTTGGCAGTGAGAGGAGTAGTACAGATGGAAGGGCTTAAGGGTCCTGGCCACATTGGAATTGCTATCATCTTCCCACAGGAATATCAAAGGCAGCAGTGGAAACTCAACATTGTTTTTCTCATATAACTGACTGTATACCTTTCAGCTGGAACTGGCAAATAGCTGCAGTGGAACTGGGAGATGCAGCCAGAGAAGGTGATGCCTCAGCATTGAGAGCACCAAGGACCCAAGATAAATAAAACTGTTGGTGAGAGTGACTAGGGATAGGTCAGGTGAAGGGTCACTAAAAGGCCAAGATGCCTGAATATTTTGGTTGTCTATTTACCCAGTGGAGAAAGACAGAGTGCTGAAACACTCCAAGAGCTTCTTATTCCTGGGTACAGACAGAGCTTGGCTAGCAGAGGTGAGGGGAGAAAGTAAAAAAGAAAAAAGGGGGTGTACATTAGAGATTCTCCCTTTATAGATTGCATGGAGGCATAATAGTGGAGGGTTTCAGCTCACAAGGAAGCACCAATCATGATTATATGCAGGCTGATACTGGCATTACAAAAGAAGAAGATAGAACTGTCTGAATGCCATAGTAACTCAATGTTGGATCACAGTCCTGCCCCCACCTCAGATTAAGATACTCCATTGTTTTCCTTCAATACACACTTTACAGGGAATTTTCAGGCCAGATTTTGGGCTAAATTTTATTTCATCTTTATGTTAAAAGGAAAGGTTAAATTTAAAAACAAGGTGAATTCACTCTTGTGCAAAAAAATTATAATTCAATTGTACACAGCAAGTATTTATTTATTAATCAGATTTATATACTGTAACTGTCCATTTCACCATAGGTGACTCTCAGCATGGAATAAATATAGCTATAACTATAGACAAACATGGACACAAACACACAATATTAGGGCAAATTTAGCTGTTCTCATGAATGTCTTAACTCACAGCAGTTGAATATTTAGCTATTATATATAAACAATAAAGGTCTTTTACATTGATTCTGAACTTAATATCCTTAGTTCACAAACTGAGATATCAGATGTACAGAAGAATTCTTGTTTTGGCAGAGGGTGAGTTGCTATTAATTTCAGTGGAAAAATCTTTCCATATATAAAGTAATGCTCCCCAGAATTTATTCATTTAATGAAACCAATAAAGAAGCCATTCAGATGCAGTACATGTACTGAAGACCTACAGAATGGAGACCTTCTGTATCTGAAATAAACCTTGGCTGGTGTATAATGACTTCATGATCACATCTCTGCAAGCCTATGTCTCCTCAAAAATGTATTTTCGAGGGGACTTTGTTTATACCAGGCGTAGAGGACTCATAACTCTCAAAATGTCAAATTTACAACCATCAGCCATCTTAACCAGTGGTCAGAGACACTGGGAGCAGTAATTCAGCAATATTTTGTAGGTCATGCATCTGACTAGCTCATACTGTTTGTTGCAGGAATTCTGGAATTCTTTAAAATCTCCAGCAAGGAAAAAAAATGACCTTCATTAAGAGTTGATCAATATATCAATCTGCTCTTACTACCCATACATTTCTCCTAACTTGGAACTGAAATCTATGTTCAAGTAATGAAAATTCATCAAATTGGTATTGCCTTTCACATACACTCAAGTTTCAAACTCTTTGATGCTGTTTCTTCCAAGATCTAGTGGGTAAGAAATGCTCTTTTTATATCTGAGATTAGCTGTTTAAAAAAAAAAACATGCAAAGTCAGTAGAAAGTACTCTCCTTAAAAATATTGCTAAAATATTTACAAACATATAAATACATAAAATTATAGCGCTTAAAAACTATTGTCTATGAAAGTTACTTACCAAAATTGACCAAATCAATGGATTCTTCAGATGTTTCTCTTTTGTCATGTAATATGAGTGGTTTAGTAGTATTTATTTAAAGCAACTTGAAAATAATTTCCATTATTTGTGGTATGAGGAGCAATCTGAAAAAATTAGAATTAACTTCAAAGTATCTTGACATTGCTGGTACCATTTGAAAAGAAGAGAAGGAAAGGAAATGTAATATGATGGAGACACTAATTCACATTTTTATTTCCTTTTATTACCACACAGAATCATCTTATCAAGGAGATGAGCAGCATATACTATACATTTAATAAATAAATAATAATTTACATGGTTTGTTATTTATTGAATATATTACAGTAGCCTGGTTCATATAACACTAAAACATAAACCGTAGTTTATAAAGTTATAAAGATTGAATTCACTTATCATACTGAATTGAACCAAATAAATCAGATTATAGCTTTGAATGGTGTGTGAACCCAGCTACTAAATTTTCTTTACAAAATGGAATTATTATGTCTGATACACTTTCTGAGTATTGACTGGCTAGCTTGGTGATAGTTGCATAAAAGAAAGAAAAGAACTTCAGATGAATTCTAATTTTGAAAATTAATTCAAGCACTATTAGAAGGAATTATTATGATGGCTAGGGTTAACTACTTTTATTTTCCTCTGTGAAGGTCTTCAAAAATTTCCTCCTGATACTTAGTGTTATGAACAAAAAGGCAGCCCCATTGTTCTGATTTATGACTATTAGAAACTGTGACAGGAAGTTGCCTCCACTGCAGAAGCCCCAAACCCCACCTTATGTCAATAAGCCATTGAAACAGAAGGCTATAAGTCCTTTGTACAGAGTGGTATTGAACACCCAAACCAACCAAGTTTTACGTAGAAAGGAAAACACTGACAGATTTTTTCCAAATGCAAGTAGATTAACTGTCATTGTGCTGTGTTCTCCTCTTTCTCTTTTTCATTTTATCAGAAATGTAAAAAGCTAGTTGTAATGTAAAATGTTAGTTTTCTGCTAAGTTAATTTACTTATTTGCTTAGGAATTAGAGTGAACCAAAAAATATGAACTGAGATGTGGGCGCACTGCACAATTAATGTATTTTAAACACTTTTAGATTTCATGAAGTTTTATTAACTTTAAACTTGGTGTTTGTTTCCTTTTGTAAGTTTGGGACTAAGATACACAATTCAAATAAATGGCCCTAAACCTTAAGTAGAGGATCAATTTATGGAGCCTTGGAACCTAATCGTATGATCTCTTAAGAAAGTTATAGGATGGTGCCTCTGTTGTGAGGCTGAAAATATTCTGAACTTGGAGGGGGGTGGGAATTTGACCTTAGAATCTTCTTCCGGTGTGCACAAGGTCCTCTAATGCAAATTCTCTCCAATACTCAACGAGGAAAAGAATATGTACCAATGGAAGAGAATATATGTAGTTCGGGGTTAAACTATGGAGTCCTTGATGATCTCTGTGCTTGGTTCTTTCAAACCCCATTCCTTTCAAGCACTGAAGATGATACTTAGTCTGGTGACAAAATTTCTGCAAGCAAACAACTAAACTCAGAGAGAACCAAGGATCCCACAAGAGGACACGTGGCAGAAAGGCCACAGTTTTGCTAGATTTTATCTTTCTGAACAGTGACACATACTCAAACTGGTTTGTCATTGATTTTAGTAGTGAGAATTCCTTTACATCAGTGTTTTTCAAAATTGGACTCTTTAACTTCAACTTCCAGCCTCACTGGCTAGGGAACTCTGGGGGCTGAAGTCCACTCACTTTAAAGTTGCCAAGTTTGAAAACACAGATTTAAAGAAATAAGAAGAATGAAGAGAGAAAGAAAAACAATGTTGCTTCTAACTCACTTATGTCCCACATAAGATTCTTTGATAATTTAATAACATACGAACAGAATTTCAGCAGAATAAGTGGATCAGACAGAGAGAAGAAAAAAGGAAGGAGGGGGAAAAACATTATGACAAATATAGATCAGTTTTCTCAGTGGTAATTCCCCCCCCCCCCAATTATGTGTGATGTGTATTTGTGGCAACAAAATACGTTACAGGAAAGAGAAGATTGAACTAATACAGAATTCACTCACTCCAGACTGAATTGTGTTTTACTGAGAAAATCTGACATACAAAGCATTCTTGATAGTGATGCCACATTTTTCCTTTTCAGAAATTGAGGAAGGCACAAGAAACAATCATGTTTAAAGATTGCAATAAATGTTACGTTAAAGAATTTACAACACGTGTTGTTTGTGTGTGCGTGTCTGTGTGAGTCTATCTCTTCCCTTCTTTGATGGATCATCAAAAGTAAAATAAATCAGAATGTAATGAAATGGCTAGAAGTATTTGTATAAGGTCTTGGTTTTTGTATTTGTTCTTAATCTGAGCATTTGTGCCTCTGACTCAGATATAGAGCAGAGGAGCAAGCATTCAAATTGAAGTAAATATTGGTTTGGTTAGAACAGCATTGCATTCCTCACCTTGCAGCAGCTGAATAGTTGTTATGACTAGAAGAGAAAATTGGTCAGCCTGTATCATCTTCAAGGTTTTGGTGATGCTCGTGAGCAGTAAAACCTTGATAATTGCAACATTATGGATAAGAAGTAGGGAAAGTAGCAGATGTCTGACCTTGCCTGACTTGTTGCTACTCTGCTTGCAGGAGCAAATGATATCTTTCCAAGGTTGCAGTCTTAAAGACAACTACTGATTTTTTGCAGAAATCAATATCTTGGAAGTATTATTATGAGTCAGTTAGGCAACACAATTTCAAGGCAATAAAGTAAGAACTAAAATGCCTGGAAATGAAATGAGAATCTCCCTTCTTCAAAAGTTATGAAATTATAGGATAATACTAAAAAGTTCAGCTCAGTAGCTTGGCTATTCTTATATTGGGAGATGCTTTTTAAAAATGTCCTCAGTGAAGACAGAGAAGCCTATGAAATGTTACAGCAGATATGGCACTTTGGGTGCTCTGTTTGAAACAATACACTCCTTCTTTTCTGTTTACTTTTTTATCAGTTGTGTCTTCAGTCTTCTCATTTATTCATTCATTCATTCCAATAAATTCATTCATTCTAATATTCTTTGTTGCATTATGTTAAGCATATTCTAATTATTTTGATTGGGGTCTTTAATTCTGACCTAAGTTTTCACATAAACTACCATTTTCTGACATTTGTTAAGACTGTAAAAAGCAGCGGTGATTTTTCTCCAGATAATTTACCATTAAAATAGGAGGGCTATATTAAATTAGTTGAGAGCAGATAATGAGGGGAGTTTTTTGAGGGGAGGAGAGGACTGTCATATTAAAATTGCCATCCTTTTTGGAAAAAGCAACAGGAAGAATTTTCATGTTCAATTTGAATTAATAATTTAAAGAATAGTTAGTACTCTCACATTACAGCGATGTATTTAGTGTATTAAGAGATCTATTGACTTTCCAAACTGCATCACTGTTCCATGTAGCTCTATTTTCAAATAATGCTTTGATCTAGATGTTGCACTTTGCTCCAGATTACTCTTCGCTCTTGAGTTTCATGTAAACATTATGGACTATTTCTTTCACAATGTCTTTTTGCGAGTGCCATCTTAAATTCAGTATGCCTAATCTGGAATTGAATTCCATTTATTCCCCATCCCCAAACATTTATCTATTTGCTTATGCTTCATCTCCACTGGCAATATTGATGTAGGCAATATTGGTATATGCAGTCTCAATATTATATGAACAATAATGCATTCTCCAGAGATTTATTGTTGAATTTATTTACCAAAACCATGTAACACTGATAATGGCATTTATAAGCTGCATGGTATTTATAATAATGTTGATTTTTTTACTACTTTCATATTTTTAACAGCAACTTTCAAATGCTGTTTATATATATATATATATATATATATATATATATTTAAAAAGCCCGCATTACCAGATTGCGTACTCTACTAAATGTTTTCCTTTGATAGTTCTAATAAAGAGTAAGATACTTTTATAAGATTGTTCTCATATTTAAACTATTTCTGTATTTAACCCTCCCCCCTACTTAGCTGTGAACAAAGTCTTCTCAAAAAGTTGAATCTTTGAAGAAAAAAAATGCTACTTTTAGCAAGTGACAAACATTAAAAAAAAGACTCAGGGGGGAATCCACATGCACCCACATCACAAACAGCAACCACTGAAAAAAGCATGCAGGAAGATTAAATTAACAATAATATATAACAATTCAATAAAAATTCAGAGAGTTCAAGGATTCCTGTGAAACTTTCCATAGCCATCTCCCCACCCCAAGAAACATAATTTTATTTGTTTGTGATTTATTAGAAGTCAACAGAATTTATGGTCTATGATATCTAAATTGTCTATAAAATGTTGGACTGAGACTAGGAAAACCCAAGTTTTAGCCCACGTCAGCCATGAAAGATCTCTAAGTGACTTTGGATCAGTCACTCTCTCTCAGCGCAACCTACTAGTGAGGGATGATGTTGTTCTGAGGGAAAAATAGGTAGAAGCAATGCAGTGTGCCACACTGTTGCTCAATGAAAGCTGAGAAATATATCTAATAAATAAATGCAATCATTATATTTTTGTATTTGTTATGTCTGATTCTTTTAATTATTTAATTAAACTGGTTATTTTAACTAAAATATGTTTACTAAATTAAACAAAAAATAGCCTTGTACTCTGTACTCTTTTTTTTACATTCAAGTACTTTGATCTTTATTGAATTCAGAAGTAATAATATAATTTTGTTTGTAAATGCAACTTTGTTTCTTCTCCCTTCCAAAATGCTATAATTTGGAGAACAAATATGTTGTTTAGCAGTAAATGAAAGAATGGCAAAATAACAATATTCCTTTGTAGTCAGTATTTAAGATGGCTGCCACTTATGTGTCATGACAAGCAGGATATAAACATGTATATAAAAGTCAGATAAGGTTTTCGCCTGTGAACTGGGGTCCTTGTCAGGGGTGGGTTTCAAAAATTTTAGCAAGGGGGTCTCTGCCTGGTTACTGGGTGGGCATGGCCATGGTGTGTGTGGCCTAGTCTGCCTCCTACACCAGGGCGCGGTGATGGTGTTTTTGCCCTTCCTCAGCTGCAGAGGCTTTCCTCGAGCC